CGCGTCGTCGCCGTACCTACGTACGTACACTACTAAACTAAAAACTAAAAATAAAATAAATAATAACTACTACCAACCAACTAAGACGTAGTAGTGTCTCTCTCTCTCTCTCTCTCTCTCTCTCTCTCTCTCTCTCTCTCTCTCTCAGGTCCATGCAGCTCTCTCTACTTATAAGAACAAGAATAAGAAGATGGCTTCCAAGGGTTCGTTGCACGTCCTCTCTCTCTCTCTCTCACACACACACGCACAAAGATATACATGGACCCATATGCTCCCTCTTTACATGTAAGAAGAAGATAAGCTCCAAGTGTTTGACGCAAGGTCCCTCTTTCTCATAGACTCTCTCTCTCTCAACATATCCTCCAAGTTTTCGAGACCTCTCTCTCACAAATACAAATCCAAAAGAAAAAAAGAGGATGATCTTTAAGAATTTTATGCAAGACCTCACACACACATATGTGCACATGCACATACACACACATATTCAGAAAACACACTCGCACACAAAACAACATATGGCCCCCAACCCCTTCCCTTAGGGCTGCCCAGGTATGTGGGCGCCCTCCTAGGCGGCTGCACCCGCCTTCTTGAACATTGGTCGTCTTTGAGTCAGATGTGCCAATGTCTGCAGGTCACAACTAGACAACTGCATCTAAATATTGCCACCATTATGACTATTAGGCATAACTTTTTCATTTTTTTTCCCCAACCAGTAACAGTAAATACTTGTCATTTTATACCATCTTATCTGGAAAGCCAGTGTAAGCATTGTGGCTGTGTGGCCATTTGAAATGATGTTCTTTGTATGTATCAATATAAAAATTTGAACATGACAAAATATCTGGAACCACTGATTTCATATTTTCTTGTGTGTTTTCTGTCTTTGGCAGGCATATGGTGTGCATATGAATGGTTACGTTAATAAAAATGGAGAGAAACATCTTTGGATAGGAAAGAGGAGTAATTCAAAACCCACTTATCCAGGGATGCTTGATCATCTTGTTGCTGGGGGATTGGTATTGAACATATTTTGAGCTATACTGCAGTTCCTCTAGAACCTTCGTCAGGAAACCTGAATTTTCATGAAGATTCTTATTTGTTAACAAAACAAGCTATTGACAATTCCCTTGTTGAGTCTCTGGCATTCAAATTTTGTTTGCTTGCAATATTTTTCATGTTCACTTGCTTAGTTTCTTTTGTTTATAGCTGTTTTTGTATGTTGTTCTTATTTTGTAACAGAGGGCATGTTTCTATCGATTGTGTTTCTTACAATCATAGCGTTGTCAGTTGAGTTCACAATACAGAATATGAAAAAAAAAAAAAAAAAAAGAGGCTCTCAAGCAAAACCATTAAATACAAGTACACAAAGAACATACAAATAATGCATACTAATAAGTCACCAACACAACTTGGTTTCCAATGTGCCACACATCAGTCTTTCTATGCATTATGCACTACATTCTTTTTGTCATAATTATTAGTCTTCTTTGCAGTTGATTAGATTTCCAATTTCTTCTTACTTGAAGATAGCTGTTAGAATATAAAGTGAAAGAAAAGGAGCTTCTGGTAACACAAAAAGCCAGTTCTGAAGACTCAAATTTCCACTGAGGAATTTCAGTCCAAGTGTTTGCTCAACCCAACACCTAGAATTGTAAGAAATCCCCAACTAGAATTCTAAGATCTCAACTCTTGCCCTCCCTTATGGTATAACCGATACATGTAATATTTAGATGCTTATCAAATACAGATACTGTCCCATAATTGACAATTGATTACCCATAGTGCAACAGCTTTAAATATGAAACATTGAAATGTGTAATGCCAAAGACAGATTGCATGGTTAGTGTTTTTCTTTAATAAGCATCTCTTGATTTTGAACCCAAATGGCTTTCCAGTTAGTGATTATATCATTTGTGCTGTCTTTTTCTTTTGTGGAAGGTTATTACCTCTGGATTGAATGTTGGTTGTTCTTCTGTGATTTGCTTCATTCTATTTGTGGACTCCAAAGTTCTGCATGGTTGATTTCTTTATTGCTCTCTGTTAATGGATCGAATTTGTTCTTGGAATTATGGAAATAGCAGAAAAATCGGATTACGATCTGCATCTAATGCATGATGGTTGGATTTGCAGCCATATGGAATTTCTTGCAAAGAGAATATTTTGAAGGAATGCAAGGAGGAAGCAGGAATTCCAATAACTATATCTGATACGTATGCTTTTCTTTCTTAAGATACTCCTTATGTTTGAATTAGGGCCTTGCTAAAATTTTAAGAGAGTATTGAATTCTCACTGAGTAGAGAAACCCTTTGATTGTGCCATATATGCATTCAAGTACATAAACAAAATTGCCTCAAGTACAATATGGTAGGATGCAAGAAATAAACCAATTACTTCTCACCATGTGCTCTACAATGAGACTAATTGCAGTATGCAACAACATTTTGTGTTCATTCTAACACTTGGCAATCTTAACATCTCCCCACTGTCATTCATGATAGATCGAGGCCATCATTTGATCTTGAATCTAGCCTCGTCTTCAACTAATATATTGAAATTTTTGGAGAGAAGATGATTTTCATTGACTAGAGAATAAACCATATAGTTACATGATAGGGGACAAGTTATAGAAGTCTTTGCACATCTTTCAGTTAGGAGTTTCACATCTCTATGTTGTTGTTGTTCTTGTTTTTCTTTTTGGCTATTATATTATCCACCTTAAGACTATGTTTCATGAGAAACTCTGATACTGGAAATTTTTTAAACATTCTTTGTCGCGTAGTGTATTATGGAGCTGTTTCTCTGAATTATGTATTGAGTGTGTATGATACGCTCCTGTAGGGGGATAGCATACATCTACTCCCTCATCTGAAGATCTACTTGGGAGGATTTTTCAATCTGAAATTTTGGAATTCAGCTAACAATCTCTAGAAGATTATTCACAAAAGAAAAAACTTTGAATATTGAATTTTCTACCACTTAGATCTCACCCTATAAAATCGGTTGGTCTCTATTCAATCTTGCGACATTATTTCTTCAAGTGCATAGAGGGTGCAATTAGGAAATTTTTTTATTGAGGTCAATATATGGGTTGAATAGGTTAATCTTCAAAAATTGGGGCCCTAAAATTAATCCTACATGGGTTTTCCCCAAGGAGTAGATGGACAGTATACTCCCAAGGGAGTATAATATCTTTTGGGTTATGTATTTGACATCTTGTTTGTGATTATATTTTGAATTGCTGAGGTGATTCACTTTTACAGGGTCGTCCCAGCTGGAGCTGTTTCTTATATGGAGATTGATGGACTTAGGTACAAGAGAGATGTTCTATTTTGCTTTGATTTGCAACTCCCTGATGGTTTCATTCCTGCTAATGAGGGTGAGTTTTTTAAAACAGATGGATGCAGTTTCTAGTGTAATATTGTTTAAAATCTGTAGTGGGTACCATCGACTCATTTCTGTATGCCTCCATCTTGTTTAGAATTGTATAGAACTTTGTAACTATAGCAGAATTCTAATATAGTCATTAAATATTAGCTTGTCCAAGCTTTGGAAATTGGCTCCCTAGACTATGAAATCGAGAAACTTTAGGTTATTCCAGGGTTGAAATTCTAGGAAAGCACAGATCTTACCAGCTAAATTTGTGTGCAACTCAGGCCATATGCAGCACATTATGCGGATTTCAAATTTGAATACCAAAAGTGTAAGCAAGAAGCAAAGTTTTTCATCTTTTTTAATTTTGGATAATGAGCGATCCTGATTGAGAAGATTAAGTGATCAGATTACTCTTTTGGTCCTTTGATAATAATTTTCTCATTTTGAAAGAGAGCGGGTTTTACGTTGATAATGCCGAAAAAGAAAAGATCAAACTCAAACCTGAATCTGCACTGCTGAATATGTATGATTGAATCAAAGCTCCACGAGTCTGTCTCCAACCTACCAAGTCCAGAAGCAAACCCTCGGGAACTGGCCTTGTCTCTCCAGTTCCCAGTATTTTAATATTAATATTTTTAGGAACTTGCGGAGTCTCTAACAGAAACCTAGCTGTGTCTGTCAGACCTGCCTTTGGCTCGGGAGCCTAGCTAGTCCTAACCCAAGTCCTTGCTTTAAACCTCTACCTCTGATGTAGGAAGCTATGGATTATTTTCTGCCATCATTCACCATGTTTAAATCTATAACTACTCAGTAACTTTCAACGAAGTTTGTCATTATCCTCCAGCAAACATAAGACTTCAACTTGGAAGGGAAGTGATAAGGGATTCTATTTGGGTCTGATTTGTGAAGGATACAATTTCCTGGTCAGTTAGGATGATATAGAACACAAGTACTAGACATCTGAGGCCAGTACGAAGGGAAAAGTTGGACTTCGAGAGGTGGAGTCCAAGACAGTTTATGCACTGGATCAAGGTTTGTAGTAGGTATCCTATGGTGTAACTAGAAATACAAAAAAGATACAAGAAAGAGTATTTAGACCTGAGAGCTACTGTGTAGAGTTTACTTTTATTTTAAGCTTGCTCCACATCTTCCATTGTGGATGAATCCTCTGGAATAAAACTATTGCCCTTATGTGCGCCAATGAATCTATAAAATTTGGGCAACTGTATAATTAACATCATGTGGAAATTAGGTAATTTTTTATTTCAAGCAGTTGATTATGAAATAGAGAAAATACATATTTCTATTGGATGTTTCTGTAAGCCAAGTCAAATTGATTTTGTAAAACATGGAAATGATATTTTTATAGGGAAAAGTACATCAGAAGCTCTTTTTTTTTTTTGGTGTCAGTGGGAAGAGGGCCCCTACCCTTGGTAGGATATGAGCCTAGGACATAGCATTGCAAATTGTCAAATGCTAACCAATTAAGCCCAGGCTCTTTTCCTACATAAGAATCTCAATAATTGTGGAAAACCATAGTCCATTGCTACATCACTGTTCAGCGAAGTGACGGATGGTTGAGGAGATATACTGGGACCCTCCGAACAGAACAAGAGTCCACTGGTGGGTCTCACTATCTCTCAATCAGTCCATTTCATTGAACAGTAATGAAGAAAGATTCGGAACCACCAATACCTTAGGTCATTCGATTTTGATATGCTTTGTCTATTTTTATATCATCCGATTCCTTGAAATAGATGCTTTGCTTCAAGGCCTGTTTTGGATGGGGTTTATTTACTAAATGTCTCTTGTGACCGTTATGTTGCTTCTGAAACCTGTTCTTTAAGGCTTTTATTTTTCTTCTTCTTAGTCTTCTTTTTTTTTCTTTTTTTTTTATGAGAAGGAATACTATTCTTTTCATTTTAGTGTGATGTCATTTAAGCCTTATTTATTTAGCTCTTCTCATATGAATATGCATGGCAGATGGCGAGGTTGAAAGCTTTAAGTTATTCCCAGTGCCCCAAGTCGCCAATATTATTCGGAGAACAGAATTTTTCAAGCCAAATTGCTCGCTTGTTATCATTGATTTCCTATTTCGTCATGGGTATTGGTTCCTTGGCCTTTACATTTATTTATAGAATTCCTTTTGTTGCTCTTGACATGAATGCATGGATTAAGATTTCAACAAATTATGATGTCCATTCATTCCCCAAACTCAAGATACGCGGCCTTGTTCCTCTGCTTTGTCTCCTATAGCAATAGCCTGAGAATAAGAGTTGTCAATGTACAGTGTCATGTAAACATTAATCATCGGAAAAAGCAAAAAATAAAAAATTAAAATTAAAATACTGTATCCTCATGTTTCTATCATGGGATATGCAGTCAAGGGACCTTCATCACTGGTTATGCGCTTGCATATGAGCTACGAAATAGATAATCCTTCTTTGCCTCTTTATGGCTGGATGTTTTAGCTTTACTCCATTCATACTGGGCAAAGATTTGTAATAAACAAACTAAAAAAATTATGACAATATGAAAAGACATTAAGGGAATGCAAACTTTAAGGTGATTAATTCCAAAATTGCATATACCAAGAAGAAAAAGCGGGTTCTCCCTTGTGAGTTGTATTAAATCCCCATTAATATATTTGAACACTTCATAAAAAAATAGATCCCATACCTAGCTATCTATCTATCTATGTAAGTATATATATATAGGGCATTTGATCAAAAAGTGTTCTGATGGAACCGTTTCACTATAATATATTGCAACGAAGTGTTGGCTTAGTTTTTTATGTATATAATATTTTGTCATCGAAGTGTATATTTTAGAATACCAATGCACCTTGTTAAAGTTATGTAAAAGTTTTCGAAGTGTAATGGAGATGTCTAGTGCTCCACTTTATGAAGGAGCACTGCTTAACTGTTTATTAGTATGATCACAATGGGGTCTACTTCTGATCCTACATTGTGTATTTTCTTCGCAAATGTCCTACTTGAGAAGAAGTACGAATTTATGTTTTTTGCATGACAGGTATATAAGTCCAGATGAGCAGGGATATCTTCAACTGCTTCAGGGCTTGAGGAGTGGAGACTGCTCCTGATTCTTCTTTCTTGTTTTTTTTTTCTTTTGGGGGTGCGGGGGGATGTAAGATATGCAGCTTAATGTGCAAGTATGTAATGGTTGCAAACATCTTTCGGTTTTGAGGCAATTGGTGTTGGCATCATTTTATACTCTCAATGTATAATTTACCTAATTATTTATTAATAGGGAAAGGGGCTGGGGTCGTGGTGGTAGCACCCTCGTATTTCAGTCACCACATTGTGGTTTCTATTCTATTCCCACTGACACCACTGCAATAATACTTTCAAAAAATTTGAAAAAACTGTAATGGTTTGTCTTTCCCATTGAATTATATATATATATATATATATATTATTTATCTAATCGATTAGGTTTTTTCACTTTGTTTGGGTTTCTTCTTTGTTTTATCTTGTTTAATTGTTCTTTGTTTATAAAATTATGGTTTTTTATTCTAGGAAAGGTTTCTATACTTCCCTTATAGAAGATTTATACCTCCCCTACCATCCTGCTGTCCAATTTTGATCAAGAGAGTCACTCACCGTTTGATCTTAGATCTGATGTTTCAAAGTATTTTATTTTTATTTTATTTTTATTTTATTTTTATTTTTTTTATACAAATTGTATGAATATGAAATTTGGTATGGACCAATGGTTTAAAAAACGGATCGGTGACCCGGATCGGGCTTCCAAAAAACCGATCCGGATCGGCGAATTGGCGATTCGGATCGGGAATCGGGTGAATCGGTCATAATAAAGTTTAAAAAAAATTCGAAAAAATTATTAAAATTCATTTTAAATATTGTTTTTTAGGAATTCAATAAAAAATGAGGGTACTCCATTAAGAATTTTCATGTTTTTGAATGAATATGCGAATATTGATATGTTCTTTCTCTGCATGAACCGTCATTCAGCATTTAATTTACAGTATTTCGTGCTCATCCCTACACTGTTGCTGTTGGGACTCGATATGTGAATAATATGGCTGAGATAGGGTGGCTTCAGAATCATCATCTCTCTCATTTTCTCTTTGAATAATATGGATTAAAAAAAAATTAACAAATTTTCAAAAAAATCGATCATGGATAAAAAAAAAAATCACAAATTTTCAAAAAATTCTATCATGGATTACAAAAAAAAATTCGATCATGGATTAAAAAAAAAAAATCACAAATTTTCAAAAAATTCAATCATGGATTACATAAAATTTGATCATGGATTACATAAAATTCGATCATGGATTACATAAAATTCGATCATGGATTACATAAAATTTGATCATGGATTACAAAAAAAAACAAACAAAAAAAAAAAAACAAAAAAGAAAAAAACAACTTCGATCATGGATTACAAAAAA